ATTGCAAATATATAATTATGGGTTGTAAGCTAAACAATTGCTATATTTTGTCTGCCAACACTATCACTTTAAAATAGTTATAAAATGCAAGCCTGCTAAACAAAGTATATATTTGTAGAAAGTAGACTACCCAGGGAATTGAACCTAGAGCATTTTGACACTATATCAAAAAAGCTCTGCCAAACCTGATTCTTAAAATTCTTTTTTTGTGTGTGTTTTCAAATACGTTTCATTTTCAAAGGTAATTTCACAAAATGTGAATGCAAGCTCCCTGAAAATGTGAGCGCACAATTTGTACTTTTTATTTTCATGAAAGTATATATATATATTTATTTTTTTATTTACAGTTTTCAATTACAATGTGCATAAATACATTTGTAGGGTTACAGTTTGAGAAGACATACATTTGAATATCTTCAATATAGTTGTGTCCTCATTTACATTGTATGCCTTGTATTCTGCACATGATTTTGTAGTATTTTCAATTTGTGTATATAACTTGAATGGGGGTTTGGAAGAACAAGGTAGGGAGGGTTAGGGTAGATGGATGGGGGGATCATGCTATCTCACGTGAGTTGGTTTTGTTACTCTCATCTCATGTGAATACATAGTTAGAATTATGGCCACAGCTGTCGGAGTTGGTCAGCTATCTCACCAGACTATGGTGATCTTTATTTGAGTATTAATTTAGTTTATGGCATTGTTCTCTTAGGATCTGAGGGATTATTGAGGTCTTCAGGAAGTTTGGACGCATCTGTATCAATCTTGAAAAGGTATGCCTCCCAAGTCGACCATGCTGATGTCATAAATGGTTTCGTGGGTAAATATTTGCGTGCCATCTGTTCATATTTTCTAGTAAACTCCAGCATTTTTATACATTGAGTCTTTGTCGGTGGGTCTGGAACACGCCAGAGTCTGCTTATCGTTGTTAGTGCTGCTACTATAATGTGGTAAATGAGATATGTCTGGGCCTTGGTTAGGCTGTTTGGAAAGAGGTGCAGTAAGTACATTTCTGGGGTTTTTGGTAAGTCTTTCCCCATGCAGTCTTGTATGACCTGGGCTATACTTGTCCAATAGTGTGTTAACTTTGGACAAGACACCAAATGTGTGTCATTGTTCCTTTGTCTGTGAGGCATCGCCAGCAAGTGTCTGATACTTTTGGATTACCTTTATGTAATTGTGTTGGCACTAGGTACCATCGATATACGATCATCCGCGTAATTTCCATATGGGAAGTACATAGTGATAGGTTTTTGTGTGCCCGGAATATTCGGGACCACTGACTTTCTGACAGGGAGATATACAGGTCTCGTTCCCATGCTCTAACAAATGTAAGGGACCGGGGGCTGGAAGTATCGTTATATTTGGCATATGGGATAGATAACAGTTTTTTGGCCGGTTGTAATCTAAGGCAGATTTTCTCCACCTCCGTCAGCTGAAGGTCATTTACATCATGATATGACAATATTTGTTGCTTTTTTAGCCATGACATTAGTTGTACATAAGAAAAATGTGCCGTAATTGGTATTGCAGATTGTATTTGTATATCTACAAAACATTTCAGGGTTGTAGTGTTGCTGGAAGATATGGTACAGGTGTGTAATATGGTGTCTGTGCCACAGTTTATAGTTAAAATCGTGTATAATGGAGGGTATGGCCTCTAAAGGTAATGCCAGGGAGATGCCGTCATCCATTTTTTGTCTTTCCCTAAATTTGTCCCAAACTTATAGTGTGTATTTGGTCATGGGGAGTATTTCCTTGTGTTTGGGTCTCAGCTTCCGAGACATCCATGTGAGAGCTGTGATGGTGATTTTGTTGGTGTACAGGGAGTGCAGAATTATTAGGCAAATTAGTATTTTGACCACATCATCCTCTTTATGCATGTTGTCTTACTCCAAGCTGTATAGGCTCGAAAGCCTACTACCAATTAAGCATATTAGGTGATGTGCATCTCTGTAATGAGAAGGGTGTGGTCTAATGACATCAACACCCTATATCAGGTGTGCATAATTATTAGGCAACTTCCTTTCCTTTGGCAAAATGGGTCAAAAGAAGGACTTGACAGGCTCAGAAAAGTCAAAAATAGTGAGATATCTTGCAGAGGGATGCAGCACTCTTAAAATTGCAAAGCTTCTGAAGCGTGATCATCGAACAATCAAGCGTTTCATTCAAAATAGTCAACAGGGTCGCAAGAAGCGTGTGGAAAAACCAAGGCGCAAAATAACTGCCCATGAACTGAGAAAAGTCAAGCGTGCAGCTGCCACGATGCCACTTGCCACCAGTTTGGCCATATTTCAGAGCTGCAACATCACTGGAGTGCCCAAAAGCACAAGGTGTGCAATAAACAGAGACATGGCCAAGGTAAGAAAGGCTGAAAGATGACCACAACTGAACAAGACACACAAGCTGAAACTTCAAGACTGGGCCAAGAAATATCTCAAGACTGATTTTTCTAAGGTTTTATGGACCGATGAAATGAGAGTGAGTCTTGATGGGCCAGATGGATGGGCCCGTGGCTGGATTCGTAAAGGGCAGAGAGCTCCAGTCCGACTCAGACGCCAGCAAGGTGGAGGTGGAGTACTGGTTTGGGCTGGTATCATCAAAGATGAGCTTGTGGGGCCTTTTCGGGTTGAGGATGGAGTCAAGCTCAACTCCCAGTCCTACTGCCAGTTCCTGGAAGACACCTTCTTCAAGCAGTGGTACAGGAAGAAGTCTGCATCCTTCAAGAAAAACATGATTTTCATGCAGGACAATGCTCCATCACACGCGTCCAAGTACTCCACAGCGTGGCTGGCAAGAAAGGGTATAAAAGAAGAAAATCTAATGACATGGCCTCCTTGTTCACCTGATCTGAACCCCATTGAGAACCTGTGGTCCATCATCAAATGTGAGATTTACAAGGAGGGAAAACAGTACACCTCTCTGAACAGTGTCTGGGAGGCTGTGGTTGCTGCTGCACGCAATGTTGATGGTGAACAGATCAAAACACTGACAGAATCCATGGATGGCAGGCTTTTGAGTGTCCTTGCAAAGAAAGGTGGCTATATTGGTCACTGATTTGTTTTTGTTTTGTTTTTGAATGTCAGAAATGTATATTTGTGAATGTTGAGATGTTATATTGGTTTCACTGGTAATAATAAATAATTGAAATGGGTATATATTTGTTTTTTGTTAAGTTGCCTAATAATTATGCACAGTAATAGTCACCTGCACACACAGATATCCCCTAACATAGCTAAAACTAAAAACAAACTAAAAACTACTTCCAAAAATATTCAGCTTTGATATTAATGAGTTTTTTGGGTTCATTGAGAACATGGTTGTTGTTCAATAATAAAATTAATCCTCAAAAATACAACTTGCCTAATAATTCTGCACTCCCTGTATATTGATTCGATATGAACCCACTGGGGAGGCACAGTGCTTCCACCCACTGATAAGATTGGGCTAATAATTGATGCCCTATGGTCTCCCGGTGTCTGGTAGGCCCATGCCACCCTATGCGAATGGTTTATAGAGGTGAGTTTCGCGATCTGGTGTTGTTCCATATAACGGAACTTATGAGTCCCTGCGCCTCTTTTAGGTAGCGTGCAGGTATTGCGAGTGGTATAGTTCTGAATAGGTATTGTAATTTTGGTAGGAGTAGCATTTTGGTTGCTGCCATCCTGCCTACCCATGAGATGAATTTCCCTTTCCAGCGGTGTATTTAAGTTTTTAGGTCGTGGAGCAATGGTTGATAATTGGTTTCGTACAAGCCCGAGATATGTTGTGTCAAGGTTATCCCCAGAAATTTAAGTGAAGTAGTACGCCATTCATATGCAAATGTCTCTTTTAGGTGAGTCAATATGTGTGGGGGATATTAATGCCCATAGCTTGTGTTTTAGCTATATTCATTTTGTAGTATGAACATTTGCTATATTGCTGGATGAAATTATGTAGTGTGGGTAAGGAGATATGTTTTTTTTTGCATTGTGAGCAGGATGTCATCTGCGAACAGAGTCAATTTGTATTCCTTTTCTTTAACTTTAATGCCATGAATGTTAGGATCTTCTCTTATTAGTTGAGTTAGAGGTTCCAGAGCTAGGATGTAAAGGATCGGGGAAAGTGGACACCCCTGTCTGGAGCCATTGGTAATAGCAAAGCTGCGAGAGGAAAATCCTCCATTTACCAACTGGGCTGATGGGTTGGAGTACAGAGCTGATATTAAAGCGATAAACCGCGGGGGGGATTTGTACCTCCCTAGGACCACGAGGAGGAAGGACCAGTTGAGCCTATCAAAGGCTTTTTCTGCATCCTGTGAAAGTATCACACTGGGCGCCCCCCCCTACACGCAGCCCACCCAGCAGGTCCACGACTTTCCTCGTGCCATCCTCCCCCTGGCGTCCGCTGATGAATCCCACCTGATCAGCATGTACAATAGTAGGGATAATCTGTGATAGCCTGTTTGCATATATTTTAGCAAGCAGCTTTGTGTCTGTATTGAGTAAGGATATTGGGCGTAGATTTGGGCTTTTGTTGAGCGGTTTCCCCGGCTTGGGAAGTGTGGCTACATGTGCCATTAGCATTTCTTGTGGTATCTTGCCCATATTTAAAATGTGATTATATATTGGTTCTAAGCGTGGTGCTAAGATGTGAGAAAAAACTTTATAATAGTAATTGGTAAGGCCATCTGGCCCAGGGGATTTCCCCGTCAGCAGTGAGGAGATAGTTTGTGCAATCTCTAGACTTGTTACGGGTGCTTGTAGTGTTGCTTTTTGTTGTGGGGTTAGGGATGGCAATTTAGTGAGATGCAAGAAATCATTTATCTCTGTCTCAGTTGGGTGGTGTATAGTGTGTTCCTGGTTTAAGTTATGCAATTTATGATAGAAGGAAGCCATTTCGTTAATATATCTTGGGGATTGTATATTTTTTTATTAGAATCCAGGAGTTGGTATGGGATTTTGGATTGCATCTGTTGTTTTTTTTTAGCAGCGTAGCAAGCATCTTTCCTGCTCTATTACCCTGGGAATAATGTCTCATTTTGAGCCGTTGGAGTGTGTGAGAAGTTTTAGCTAGATGTATGTTGTTTATGCTTTTGGTGACGTTCTCTATTGTTTTCAGATGAGCATCCTGTGGTTGTATAGCGTATACATTTGTAGCGTCTTGTAGGGTTTGCAGCAGTGTCATGTAATCTTTGTGTGCTGTACGTTTCAGATATGAGGCTTGACTAATCAGTAAGCCCCTGATTGTCGGTTTGTGTGCTTGCCAGAGAGAGACTGGGGTTGTTTCTGGGAGATCATTTAGCTGGAAATATTGTTCTAGGTTTTGTGATATTTGGGATGTAAATGTTGGGTCATGCAGGAGCGACTCATTAAGGCGCCATGGTGCTTGTCCTCTGTGTGGGAAAGGGCTAATTATCATTGTTATAGGCGCATGATCAGACCACACAATGTCTCCTATGGAGAAATGTGTGACTCTTGGAAGCAGGGGGCTTGTTTATCTTTCTGTATGTGTAGTAATTCAAATGTCAGGGAGCTATGTATTAAGAATGATACTCCCGGGGGGCGTGGCCTGGAGGGAAACCGGAGCGGTCGCATGTACTAGCGGCTCCGATCCGTGACCGGCTTCAACGGAGAAATTAAGCCCGAAATCGGCCACATAAACAAGCATGTCGCAACATAAAGGGAAGAGGACAACAGAGAGAGCGGAGAAAACGAATTTCTTTGTCTCCAGAGCCGGGCAAACCAAAAGCCAGACACCTCATGAGCTGATCCAAGATGGCGCCGAGGACATGGCAGACAGCAGAGAACACACAGAGGAAACTGAACCTGCACTAACCCACAGCACAATCAAAGCTCTGCTAGATGACATGGCAGCAAAATTATTACTACAGCTAGAGTCCACAATAAAGGACATCAGTAAGGATGTGCAGGAGCTGGGGACGCGAACCTCCAGAGTGGAGGACAAAATGGCGGAATATGACACCGCTCACAACAACCTGGTGGGCACAGTAGACTCCATATTAGCCAAATTGGAGGCACAAGATACGAAAATTGCCGACATGGAAGACCGCGCAAGGAGAAATAATCTCCGAATAAGAGGCATACCGGAAACTGTAAGTGTGCCTGACCTCATGGCCCATGTAACAGGCCTCCTGAGACACCTATTACCAGACTGGCCTCAAGAGATGCTGCTGATCGATAGAATCCACCGTACAGCAAAACCCAGTTTCTTACCCCCGGAAACGCCGCGTGATGTTCTGCTCCGCATGCATTATTTCCACGCCAAAGAAGCAGCCCTGAACGCCAACAGAACGCACAAAGGTCTGCCGGATCCATATAAACATATAGCACTCTACGCGGACATCTCAGCCTTCACCTTAAAACGCCGCAGAGACTTCAGGGACATCACACGGACCCTACGAGACCATCACCTCCCTTACCGTTGGGGATACCCAACCAAGATATTGGTCAACAGAAAGGGCAAAATCACGGCCATCCAGACACCGGAAGACGGACGAAAAATCTTGCAGACCTGGGACATCGCATTACCGGCTACGGTGACCACGGAGGAGAGCACACCAAGACTCTCCCCAGACTGGAGAAAACCCAAAAGAAAATGAACAAAGACTTTCCCGCACCAGGGGTGATCACCCACACAGAGGCAGAGTCGGTCTGAAACCAGGGATGGGTAAAGTAATAGAACTGCAAAGATGACATATAGAATAGATATTGAAGCATGACATTACAGGGACACTTCCCCTAAGAGAGAGAGAGAGAGAGAGAGAAAAAAAAAAAAAGGGGAGAGGGGGGCCATGGAAGGCTCAAAACCCCAAAAAGCTTATGACACCACTGGATAAGTTGAGAGAGGACAGATCGGCATGTAGCCAGTGTCCAAACCACAAACAGACTAAAGACCCAAACCCTACCGACAAAAAACCCATTAGAATTACCCCACTGGTGTAATACCCACCATCCCACTGACTCAGGAAAAAAAAAAAAAAAAATTCTCGAGTAGCGACAAAAAACAACAGACCCACATAGGGCGATACAGTCACTAATTAAGAGTACAAGAAGCCACGGACAGAGTGATGTACCAGACCGAGAAGCTTAGCTTCACCCCCAAGGCACGATGACGCAGTGCCCAGCCATACCTCAGGCAGAATTGTTATTTGTATATACTTTTGTTGTTATGTTACTGTTATGTATTGTACATTTTTGTTTAGTCACTGGTATCCAAATCAAACCCTCAGAGGGGCACACCACAGGGAACCCCGCGAAACCACCTTTCTCACACACCACTCTACTAGTGCCCACCCTACTTAGACACGAGCCTACTCCACAAGCTCCACGGGACACCCACGCCCAAACCAAACATGGGACGCTAGCACTCGGCTTGCTGAAGCTGGGAGGAGTGCTGTCCCTTGACGAAACACGCACCACAAAACACTATAGCCCACCACACCATAAGAAACCACCGTGAGGATCTGTACATATAACGTACGGGGATTGAATACCCCCGCAAAAAGACATATGCTACACAGGGAGCTCAAATCCCTAAACGCGGATATTGTATGTCTCCAGGAGACACACTTTAGACACATGGATCACCCCAACATCCAAACACTGCAATTTCCACAACAATACCACGCCACATCACCTACTAAATCTAGGGGCGCCTCTATCCTCTTAAGCAAACACGTAAAGTTTGAACCACAACACCATGAAACGGACAATAATGGCAGATATGTCCTCCTACAGGGCAAAATAAACGATATGGCCTACACAATAATCAATGTCTACACACCTAACACAAATCAGCGAAACTTCCTACAGAGCATTCTCAAAAAAACAAGTGCTATACGACAGGGAATTACGATAATCTGTGGCGATTTCAATCACATCATAGATCCCAAAACAGACACCACCCTATCACGACATAGCCGTCGACAACGCCCCATGAACAGACAATGCAAAGCCCTACAGAAACTCATACACGAACATCATTTCTATGATGCATGGAGAATCACACACCCAGGGGAAAAAACATTTACCCATTTCTCACACGTCCACAACTCCTACTCGCGGATAGATGGGTTCCTCATCTCAGGGCAACACCTAAACCAAATCCACACCTGCGAAATAAAACAAATCACATGGTCTGACCACGCACCTGTGCTCCTCGACATGAAAAACTTATACGATTTTAAACACCGTAGCCCCTGGAAACTAAATGACATGCTGCTACAAAATAACGAATACACGAAAGAATTCGCAGATGACCTCACTCTATACTTTACACAGAACGACAACGGAGAAGTGTCACCGACCACTATCTGGCAGGCACACAAAGCAGTCATACGCGGGCTGCTAATTAGAAAGGCGGCATACCTAAAAAAACAGACACAGACCACACTAAAAACATGGCAACGAGAGCTATATGACTTAAACAGGAGCAACCAACTACAACCAACGGCAGAAAACAGACACCGCATCACGACCATCACTAGGCTCCTACACCAGCAAGCACTAGATCAAACGCAAACTAACATGACGAGACTCAAAATAGCACACTACATGCAGGGCAACAAAGCGAGCAAACTCCTAGCTAACCAACTGAAACAAAAACAAGTTAGTCAAAAAATAGCCTATATCCTAGACAACAAAGGCCAGAAACAAACCACACCTAGGGAAATCAGTGAAACATTTGCCAAATACTACCATACCCTGTACAACCTGAAAGGAGACTCGGCCACGACGCAACCCACAGACACCAACATAAAAACATACTTAGACAAACTAACCCTACCGCGACTTACGCCACAACAGCAGACAGATTTAACCAAACCTATAGACATACAGGAGATGCTCACAACCATCCAAACACTGCCGACGGGCAAATCACCAGGCCCGGATGGCCTGACAAACTTATACTACAAGAAGCTCAGCCACATATTAGCACCCCACCTAACAAAGACTTTCAATCATGCTATAACCCAGAAATCCCTCCCAAAAGAGATGCTGTTAGCACACATTGTCACGTTGCCAAAACCTAACAAACCACCCACGACGCCGAAAAACTTTAGACCCATCTCACTCCTAAACACAGACGCAAAACTTTTTGCCAAACTCTACGCGACAAGACTAGGACAAATCATACCACACATCATTCACAACGACCAGGTGGGTTTTGTAAAAGGGAGACAGGGGTCGGACAACACAAGGAAGGCCATAAACCTGCTATACAAACTACAGACACAAAAGGAGGGGGGATTATTCCTCTCTCTGGACGCAGAAAAGGCCTTTGATAGGCTACACTGGGGGTTTTTAAAAGCAGTCTTACGCAAGTTCGGAATACCGGACAAATTTGAGGCGGTAGTGGACGCATTATATAGCTCACCCGAGGCACGGGTGCTGAACTCGGGGTTCCTGTCAGAGCCGTTTCGGCTAACCAACGGAACAAGACAAGGCTGCCCACTATCGCCGCTACTATATATCCTAGCCCTAGAACCACTAGCCACACGATTCAGAGAAAATAGCAACATACACGGAATAAAACTGGGGAAGCAGGAATATAAAACAGGACTGTTTGCAGACGACATTATGCTGACAATCACACAGCCACACATCTCACTCCCAAACATTCTTGCTGAAATAAAGGAGTATGGAGATCAATCTTATTATACATTGAACGTCACCAAAACACAGGCCATGGGGATAGGAATGACTCAAACCTCGCTAGACAAACTAAAAGATAACTTCCAATTTGACTGGAGGGGGGATTACATCACTTTTTTGGGATTAAAATTGCCAAAACACCCTCACCAACTGTTACAACTTAATTACGGCAAACTCCTAAAGGAAAGCGAAGAAACACTAAAAAGCTGGGAACACAAATTTCTGTCTTGGATAGGTAGAATGACTGCCCTGAAAATGGTCTTACTCCCCAAGTTCCAATACCTCATCAGAACACTACAGATATTCCTCCCGAACAAATACCTAAACAAGCTGCAACGCATATACACATCATTTGTATGGGCACACAAAAAAATAAGAGTGGCGTCAGCGATCCTGAGCAGACATACCTCTCAAGGAGGTCTGGGCCTACCAGACGTCCGTCTGTACTACGAAGCCGCCCTCCTGTCCACTAGCCTCACCCTACACACAGGGGGAAACAAGCCACAATGGGCAGAGATGGAGACTGCAGGGATATATGCGGGGGGCATAAAATACATATTCTGGGTACCCCACAAGTTGAGACCCAAACACAAAGATTTATTACCAACCACCTCCCTACTACTAGATACATGGGACTCGAAAACAAAATTCCTAGGGCAAACCAAACACTGGGCAATGGCGACCCCGATACGAAGCCTGCACATAGTCAATCCCACCTTAGACTACCGCCCCTGGACCCAAAGAGGGTGCACACGTGTAGAACACCTCTACAAAGAAGGCAAACTAGAACCATATCCCATTCTGAAAACCAAATATCAACTCCCGAATGCCACTCTGTTCACATACCTTCAGATAAAAGCACTTCTGGAGAACGAGACCTCAATAACAATAGCTACACCCTTACAACAAATATATCACATATGCACCACGGGCAATATCCCAAAAAAGACACTCTCTCTACTCTACGCCACACTAAACGACAATCCCAAAACACCACCGCAAGACAAATTCAGGGAACACTGGCACGAAGACCTACATAAACAATTCACTGACAGACAATGGCATAAAGCCTTTATAGCCCACAAAGGGAGATCTAGATGCGCAGCGCACTTAGAGCTCATGAGGAAACTGCAGTACAGGTGGTACATGGTGCCAACGAGACTGGCAACCATGTATCCACATACGTCAAAACTGTGTTGGAGGTGCGGGACAGAGGAGGGCAGCATGTACCATATATGGTGGACATGTAACCAAATACAACCATACTGGAAAGAAGTAGGAGACATTATTCGATACACACTTGACACACAGAACCCCCTCCAGCCAGAATGCGGTCTGTTGTTTATGACCCTGGAGACATATAACAAGACACAAGCGATACTACTCTTCCATATCCTAATAGCCGCAAACACACTGATCGCAAGGGCTTGGAAACAAACCACGAGACCAGGAAAAGATGCATTACTGACCCAAATCTCCACCAACCTAATGTACGAAACCAAACTAAATGCCAAATTTGGTGCATCTGCTCAGGCAAAACAAGCCAGAGACAGATGGGAAGAGGTGACGAGAACCACATGTAGTGGTTAGGGAACAGCCAGGCAAAGATGAGGGAGATAGAGAGGAGAGGAAGAAAAAAAAAAAAAAGCCACCAAAGTCGCACAGCCATAAATCATAGGGTGAAACCAGACATACGCACAAACCAGGGGCAACAGAGAGTGGGAGAATCATAGTAGACGGATACCAATATGTAAATAGTTATAAAGATATGTAAATAGTTAGATAGATAGTTGACTTGGGGAAAGCACAAGATAAGAGTTACACCCAGATGGAGCAATCACACCGGCTGGCACGGTACGACACGTCTAGCAACAAAAGAGGGAGGTGTATTGTGATTATGTATTACATGCTGCGCCGCAAGGGCCGATGCTTTACCCCGATATGTTGTAACCCCCCCCCCGCAGGAATCTTGGATGTAACACAACTGAATACAAGAACATGTATACTGTTTTCCCCCCCCTTTTTTCCCTTTCTGTACCCATATTATGAAAATGCAGAATAAAAAGTAACTTGAAAAAAAAAAAAAGA